ATGATGATGATGATGATGATGATGATGATGATGATGATGATGATGATGATGATCGTGACGAAGACGACGATTATGATAATGATAATATGATGATAAAAGAGCAATCGATAAACAATTGATAACTTGGGTGCCTTTTTCCACAAGCTGTACGGTCCGACATATCACATGCGCATAGTTGTCTGATAATTATGGTAGCAATGATTAGGTCACAGTTATCTCCTCACTTGTCAATGACTCATTAGTGCTTGGTCATAGGATGCATCAACGCCCATTTTAACACGGTAAGGTGAATTATCATGATAGGCTGCACCTACAGTTTTATCGTCCGAGTTGTGAACACCCAATTTAAATGTAAAGAACTTCCGTTGTTGTCGTCAAGCATGATATACCGATTGTAATTTAATGTCTCTTTCTTGCGCGTCCGCCCGTTATCCCTGATGTATCTGATCTGCTAATCACACGAAAAAAAGAAAATGAAAAAAAAAAGCGAAAATAGCAAAACAAACAATCAGCTCCGAATAAAGAAAATAGTTTGTGAGCGCTGTACAAATACAATAACAGCGCATTATAAACAGTATAACATTACAGTGTTATGTATATCGACCTCACATTATTATGCATATAGGGCTGCATTATAATTTTTTTTTCTCAGCAGCAAGCCAGCGCAATGTTCTTAACAGAGGTGTAACAGAGTCTCATTTTTTAACTTTTCTTTAAAACTTAAGGCGTGCCTTTTTTTTTTCACTTTCTCTTGAGATATCCCTGATAACAAGGAGTGGTAATAGTCAACAGCAGCCCCCCTCCTCCTACACCCTCCCACCCTTACCACCACTAAAACAAACTTCAACAAAACAAACCCCGACGATAAACAATCAAAGTAAAAAAAAACAAAGAAACAAAATAATGCAAAAGAAAACAAAAAAAAAACAAACAAACGAACAAACAAAAAACAAGAACAAAGCACACAAACCTGAAAGGAAATAAAATTACAGAAATAATTTTATCGAAAATACAAACAACAACAGAAACCAACTACATGTATAAGCAAACAAAACAAATGACATAAAGACTTTGAACATCTCGTCCTCACTGAAATAAACAGAAGACAAAACAAGTAGGGAATACCTAAGAGCACCTTACTTTGAGAACATAAACAGATGGGCGACGGGGAAAGGCTAGGATAATAAATATCTTGGTTGTATATTATTTGGTTGTTGTTGTTGTTGTTGTTGTTGTTGTTGTTGTTGTTGTTGTTGTTGTTGTTGTTGTTGTTGTTGTTGTTGTTGTTGTTGTTGTT